ATTTAGAAGCCCTATCATCAACCTTATTCTTGTAAGGAATCGACCAAGACTTCTTGCACTGAGTCCTATAGAACTTGCCTTTGAATTTATTGGAACCATCATTTTTTCCATGACTGAGCCTGTAGAGCTTGTATCGAGTCTTGAACTCTTTTCCTTTTGACATTCCTAATCCCAGTCGCTTCCAACAAACCAACCAAATCTTCCAGTTTTAGGGTTTCAAGTTGATTGGATTCTTGAATAGCTACGATAACGTGATCAAACTGAGAGGTCAACATACTCATTACCTTCTCAACTATCATCTTATCAGTTAGGATTTCACCACAATCCTTTATGAGATGTACGAGTTTCTGAACCTTCGACATATATTCTGAAATCTTTTTGTCTTCTCCCATCGACAATAATTCTTATTGTCGACACAAGGTCTGCAACTTGACAATCTTGACTTTCTCACCTCCTTCATAGAACTTGACAAGAATATCCCATGCCTCCTTCGTCGATTCAGCATGAGATATTCTGTCGAAGTTCGCCGCATCGACCGTCGTCTGAATGTAATATGAAACCTTGCAATCCTTCTTCTTGGTTTCGCTGTGTGATATTTTATGTGCGTCGGTTGCATTTGCAGCTAGCGTAAAAATACAATTAGTAACCACTTCTAAGGTTTCATGAAATCTAAACAGAGATTGTATTTGTTTTCTCCATCGAATTCAATTCTTGTGGTCAAGATTTGGAAGAAAATTTGGAATACTATTATTACCATTCATCTTCGCAGAGATTGATTGACAATAACCCATGTTGTACCCCAAAATTTGCCCTCCCATATTTCTCAAAACATTTCAAGAAAAATTCACAAGTCCAACCTGGCGCGTCATATTCAGGTATTCTTTCGCCAAGATATCTCTGATAACGTATTCTCAAATTCAGGTTCGGCTCAAGAGTCAATTCTTTAAAGAAGGTATCCGAATGTGTGAGTTTTCTCGAAGAAATATGGTGAAAAAGTGTGCTGAAAGTGCAGTTTTTACGCGCTAACAAATTCATAACTTGAAGATCGTGACTCGTTTTGAACCCGTTCCGGTGGCCAAAATTCCTTCTTGACATTATCTACGTTTTCATCTCTCACGGCTGGAAGCCAATTTCGATCAGAAGGTCTTCAAAAATGTGGATTTATCAAGTATTTTCATACAGAAAATTTGTGACAGAAGTTTATTTGTGTCATGTTCAGAAAATCATAACTTGGTCGATTTTCATCGTATCGAGCTGGTTCCGATGCCAAAATTTCACAAATTGAGTTGGCTACATTTTCACAGAAGGTATTGAGTTCAAACGGTATTCAAAAGGCCTTCGTTTTTTGCTCAGAGTTCGTGACACGCTGAAAATCCTGAATGCTGAATATTATTTCATCTGAGCCGAAACTTCGAAAATTCATAACTCGGTCAATTTTTATCGGATTGGACTCATATTTTTACACAAGGTCACTGACTCATAGATCTATAACTTTGCTTCAAAAGTCGAGACCAAATTATGCACCGATCAATACCAGTTCTTTATTGAAGAACGTGTCAGAGTCGACACTGGAGCCCAAAATAAGTTTGTTTGAGCTGAAACTTCAAAAATTCATAACTAATTCACCGTTTATCCGATTGAGTCGATTTTCGGACAGGAGTTAGTTCTCGATGCCGGCTACATTTTGTTTTCACATTTCAACTTCAAAAATTTCACTTAAGTCCCTGCGATTTAGCCTGGAAAGTGACGAACTCAAGTGAACATGGGAGGCCCAATTGCACATTCAAAGCCCATTTTCTTTACCCTAATTTCCATTATATAATCACCTTCTTTTCACACAAACAGAAAAAGAGGAGGAGAAAAGAAGAGAGAAAAAAACCTTGCCACAACACTGTTAGAATATCAAACTCTTTCAAGAACCCTAAAACCTTGAAATCCTTATTACAAATCCCTCTCTCACTACAAACAAGCCATCACAGTTACAAACCAACATCTTATTACTTCTTCAGTAAGGGTAAGGCTGACTTCTTCAGTAAGGGTAAGGCTGACTTGATCTCCATGATCCAAAGGGCATAAAGGCATTCATGTCACTACTTTTCCAGTAAGGGTAAGGTTGATTTGATCTCCATGATCAAAAGGGTATAATCATTCATACATGCCATATTGTGCCTAAACATTAAATTTCTTCATATATTAGCTTTATTTGCATTTTATGATTTTATTTAATGTGTTCGTGAGATTCAACACTGCAGATTTAGACAGGATCCCATGCAGGTTCATTAAGGAACGTTGAGGCCAAAAACCAAATGGCCAAAAGCCAAAAGCCAAATGGCCAAATTAGAAAAACTTATGCATGACACTAATACATGGCGAGACATACATCCTAGAAGATTAAGGAACATTGAGGCCAGAACACAAATGGCCAAAAGCCAAAAGCCAAATGGCCAAAGTAGAACAACTTATGCATGATGAGGCCAGAACACAAATGGCCAACAGCCAGAACACAAATGGTCAAACCACTCCAATTCACCTCCAAAAAGGGCCAGACACCCCCCATGGTTTGCATCATTTTTATTTTTTATTTGATTTTCCTTTTTCATTCTTTTAATTGTTTTAATTGTTTTCTTTAAATTCATGAATTAATTTTTATAATATAAAACCAGAAAATCAAAAACTAAGAATATGTTAATTAATTTACTTATTAAATATTTTTGTAAATAAATGTTAAATAATTAATTTAGTTAAATTAGGTTTTAAAACTTAAGTCTTTTTCTTAACAAATTAAAATATGTAGAAATTAGGGTTTTTAACTTTTCATCATCTTTTTAATAAATAATTTTTTCTTATTATTATTGTTATTAATTATTAAATATTTTTGTAAATAAACATGTACATTAAATATTTAGTAAATTAGGTTAAACTTTAACATTTTCATTAATAATTTAAAAAACTTAGAATTAGAGTTTCTTTTAATTTTAATTTTCTTTATTTCATAAATACAAAAAAACTAAAAAACATTTCTTTCCTTTTATTAAATAATTAATTAGCTTTTTAATTTCATTTAATTTCTTTAAAGGGTCCAACGCCCTCGAACGTTCTATTTTTATTTCTTTCGCACATTTATTTTCTTTCAAATATTATGTAATTGCTCAAGCCATGTAACTCAGACATTTTATATTTCCCGCATTTTATTTCTTTATTTTATGTCAAATCGGGTCCTGGTTTAATTTGGCGATGTGGACCCGCGCCTTTGTAATAGTTTAGGAACTTTATATTTCTCGCAATTTTTAACTATTAATAATGACATGCAAGAATGAATGATAAAATAAAAACAAACGCATAGATCACTTTGACAAAAGACAAAAATAAATGAAAACGACACACAAATCACACACCACCACTAGGGTACGCCTCACTGTTGCCTTGCCTCGAAAGGTGATCGTCGAGTAGAGGATGTCTTAGTAAGTCCTCATGATCCGGGAACCTGGCATGAGGGTAGCTTCTAAGGTGTCTTCCCATTGCTCTGGTGATCACCATGTCCCGAACCTCGAATTGACCCGAACACCTCCAACGGTGGTGCTACCTACCTCTCAATGGTGGGATGGCACTACTTTAAAGGACATTTACACAGACGAATTCCTTAGGGTAGGTAGACGACTCTAGATACTTGCTCTAAATTCAAAACAAATTCAAAGATACTTTTCACACCAGCACATTTTCAAAAAGCTTTCGAAAGCAATTTTTCAAACACTCTTGAGGACCGATACAAGAGTCGAACTGGAATTTTCAAAGAAACTTTTTTAAAACCCACAGTTGAAAAGCAAACAAACCATTTTTGAAAACACAATGAGCAAGTATCTAAGAGCCCATGGATAACCATGGATAGAAAGAGTGCTAACACCTTCCCTTTCTATAACCTACCTCCCGAACCAAGAGCAATCTCTATAAGGAATTTTTCTGTGCTTTTGTCCTTTCCATTTGGAGAAAATAAAAGACGGTGGTGACTCTTGCTTCCGCGACATTTCGTGAACCAGCGTTAAACAGTCAGTTCCAGATCCACCGATCATAACCCACAATCTCAAAAATACAATCTCTGTCGTGTGATTCTTGAAAACACGATCAAGAATCTAACTGAAGCTCTAGATACAGATTTGTTAGTGCGTGAGACATTTTTAGTGAGGAGAGAATAAAGGAAATAAGGATTATATTATTCACATGAGTTGTTACAAATAATGATACATACTAGTCTATTTATATACAACTAACTTATACACTAAGTAGGCTAACAAACCCTAATTGAATTTGTGCTTGGATTACACCACTTGGATTATATAATATTTCAACAGGTACGTGTACTTGGTTCCGGTACTTCACTATTTTAGAAGTACCCATTCTTCAGAGTTTATGATACAAAGCAAAGTTTAAAAAACATTGTTACTACAAAAAATCATATTAAAAAGGTGCTTATACCGATACCGATACATTATTCACCATTTTATAATAAAGAATAAATTGTGGTTAATTCACGTATGACAATCGTAATCACTATCACAATACCTATAGCAACACCTATAGGGACTAAATTGCATAAGTGTTTATGCTATAGTGACCTTATTTTAAACCTTGATACATTATGGAGAAAAAAAAACCTAAATCATGAAGTTGCTGCCAGTTTCCAATCATTCTCGGATTGCATATTTTTTTACCAAAAAGTCTGATATCCTCATGTTTCAATTATTATATTTGCATGCTTCTGCTTGTGAAGGCATATTAGAAGATAAAGTTTTGTTAACCCTAATAAACAACAGGTTATAAAATGTACGTACAATTTAATTAATGATACAAGATGTTTAATTTAATGGATCAAACTTGGCCATCATTGATTCTTACGAAGGAAGATCAAGTTTGCTCCATTAAACATGGATACAATTCATATTTGTTTTTAAACTCATAACTTAACTTCCATTTGAATGATTATTTGATATTATTACTATCAATAATCAAGCTGGTCCGCCGAAGTTCGGGCGTTGTTGCCACGCCTCAGTGCTGCCATCACCCGCTATGTATGACATGCATGACAATGGCACGAGACACAGGCCTCGACTTCTCAGATATTGCTTTGGTTCTCTATTTGTGTCACCTATGGGTGAATCCTGATATGATCAATATGAAGCCAATTAGTATTCAAGATTAGGGAGGATGTGAAAGAAATTTTATTCATATTAGAATATAATAGCTATCTATCAATCAGCGATACAAACACCGTATGTACGACCCTGACACGCACATGTAGACACGCATAAAAATTTAGACACGGGATACACCTTCTATCAGAAGTGTCTGTACTATAAAGATAAGAATAGAATTCTTACCCCTTGCATCAATCTATTGTTTTGGCTTTGCGACGACTTCATATAAGGAACACTGAGTGTCTGCATGAAAAAGAGTTATTAATTTGTAAGAATTAAGACTTAAACAATTTTGTTTCAGGTATTGACATCTGAGTTGTCTCAAGTTTTTTAGACTCTGTCCAGGTTAGTCGTAGATTAACCATGACAAAACAAATAATATTCTACTTAACCACTATGATTTAATCGTGACAATATTTTATAAGATCTATTTAGTCACAATTTAACCGTAACAAATTTTGAACCATATACAGTAATCCACCTTACATGAGCATATGTGGAAAATATATACCTCGACTTGGCCTTGAAGGAATTTAATGTATCCAATAGCTTCCATGAGTACAGATGCAGTGTCAGTCTGCAACATCCAATTCAACATAAACTTTCCAAATCAAAACATATTAAAAAACATAGATCAATATATATATATGATGCACTAATATGTAAATTACTCCTTTCATTCCAATATGAATTTCAAAGTTATGTTATGTCTCACATAAATTAAAGTGTTTATTCAGTATTTTACCTTTCCAAAAGGAGCCACTAACTGTTGAAGAGCCGCAATTCTATCTCCTAATTTTTCTTTCCTAACCTGAAGTATTAATTTCCAACAAAAAAAATTAATAATGCAACACCAATAATTAGTAGTAGTACTCTAAATATATTTTTTTCTTCCATAAAATGTAAGGCACCTTGAACGGTGCACACGAAGGTCGTGATTCCGATGAAGATCGTGATTTCTTCAAGGCCGTTTCAGATTGAGAAGCCTTCGATTGCATCACTCTCTTTGTTTCTCCACCACCATTGCTGAGTAGTGACGGCTTCTTTAATTTCGCAGCAAAAAAAAAGTAAAGATTATTAGTCCAATATAATTAAAGTGGCCCAGTCTTTTTCAAAAAAGAAAAGCAAAAAAGATGATAAAATTCTGATTAAAGATATGTGCATCATGTCAAAAAGAGAAAATGTTTTGCCACAAGTTAATTAATAAGAAAAAATCATTGCAAAGAGTAACTTTTTTTCATTAAAAAGATAACTTCTCTGCTAGCTCTAGTTAGTCAACTTCATTATAATTAGTAGTATATTCTATAAAATCATTCTTAATTCTCTCTTATATAGTTTCTCAAAATAAGTTATAATATAAAAAAAAAAAAAATTGAATATCTTACATGCACGTATGGCATAGAGAAAAATACTAAGAAAGGAATTAGAAATACTTACATTAATTGAGTTACTATTCGAGGATCTGTTTGCGAGTTGGTTCGGCAAAGGATGAAGATGAAAAGAAAGATTTTCATGATCATGAGTAGTAAATCTACCAAGATGATGATCTTGTGAACTAGTTAATAGATCTAATGACTGCATGTTCATATCCAGAGTCGTGGTAGAAGACGAAGACGAGTACTGATTCAAGTTCGAGATATTTATACTAGGGTGAATCTGGCTACCATTAATGTTAGGATAGTTTGAAGTATTATAAAAGTCTCCACCAGTGTAAAGATTCTTGAGCATGAGAACATTCATATCCTTGTGTTCATCATTAGTACCATTCTTCATCTGTATTATAGCAGAAGAATCATCGAGTACTCCATAGTTTTCCATGCTTGAATTAGGAGGAGTGTAATTAAGCATTTCAGTAAATTTAGGAAAATTAGGAAATGAAATCTCTTCCTTAATAGAATCTGATTCATGGTTTCTGTTAACATCATCACTAGTCCATTGATGATGATAACGTAAATCTTGAATCATCGCGCTTGATCTCGAATATCTCGGATTAGCTTCTTGGAGATTCGAGTTGAAGTTACCAGCAGCATTATTCCTACATAAACACATGTATAAATAGGGCTAGAATTTAGAACTTAGAAGAAAAAAAAGAAAAGAAAACATGTTGTTTATTATTACTTTATCTTAAAAATACAAATTAAATTAAATCAAACCCTAGTATAAAAATAAAACCCTAGAAAAAAATGAAAACTGAGAAGTTACTTACAAAGTGATGTTTGTTGGGGTCCAAGAGTGGATGGTGGTGGTTCCTCCATCTGCATAAGATGATGGGATAGAAGAAGAAAAAGAAGAAACAGGTGGAGATAGTTGTTGGTCTTGAAGATGATGGAGATTATTTCTAGGTTCCATAATCATAAATTTATAATTATACTTGTTCTATGTAACTTGTTAAATAAAGGGTTGATTGAAAATCCCAAGATGATGAGTAGAGCAATAAGGATGATGGTTTAGTGAATGGAATCTCTCTACTGTAATGAAAGGAACACAGTTCCAGGTGACACCCACATACCTCGGTTCTTTGCCCCCACTTTTTTCTTGGGTTTCATCTTTACTCTTTCTTCATCTTTAAAGTATCCTTGAAAAGGAAGTAAGAGAAGTATTTCATATATATTTCAATCTATATACCCATACTATATATCTTTCTCTCTCTCACACTTTTAATTATTTTATTTCCTTTCAGGCCTACTTCACTTTTTTCACTCCTTTTTCTCTCCTGCAGCTTTGAGTCTATAAATAAATATATGTGCATAAAGAATTATATAATTTTGTCCTTTATTGAATCCACTTTTTTTCTTTCTTTTCAATTTTCTGCTTGATTATTATTATTGCTATGTGTTCTCATGAGGCAATTACAGCAAAACCATTAGAGTCTCCCTATGCTATGATTAAAAATATGATATTGTATGTCCCTTAGATCCCAAGGCTTCAACAAAGTTCTGATATTTGAAATCATAGCAGCCACGCTTGAGTTCTTTCTTTATTTACACCCCACATGTTTACAACCAAGGAAGGATACTCTACTATTGTCCCATTACATATATATGTGGTTCTTGGTGAATTTGTGTTGTCCCTTGTTCTGTGTTACCGACTTAACACTATCATTTAATGTTAGATAATATGTTTGGTCTACTGCATGACTTGAATAAAAAGAAGATGAAAATAATATGATAAAAATTATAGTAATAATAAGTTGCATCCCACCGAGTTTAGACTTATCTCTCTTTTGAAATTTTTGTATAAGTTAGTAGCCAAAGTTTTGGTTTTTAGGTTGGCTAAGGTAATTGGAAAGGTAATTCCGGAACAATTTGTTTTTATTAAAGGAAGGCAGTTTGGTGGAGGGGATGGTGGCTCTGAATGGGGTGGTTAATTTTGCTAGGGTTTCAAAGCATTATTGTTTGATATTTAAAGTAGATTTTAAAAAGGCATGTGACTTAGTTAGTTAGTTATTTTTGGATTATATGTTGAAGAGATTTGGTTTTGACAGAATGTGGAGGGTCTGGATTAGGGTGTGTATTTTTCCAGAGTTTGTCCGTTTTGGTGAACGGTTACCCTATATAAGAAATTAATATTAAAAGAGGAATTTAAGCAAGGAGATCTTTTGACCCCTTTTATCTTTCTTCTAGTGGTAGAGGACCTCACTGGAATTATCAAGAAGGTGGTTTCTTTAGATATTTTCTGTTGATTTAAAGTGGGTCAGTCAGGGTTAGAAGTTTCTCATCTCCAATATGCAGACGACAATGTTCTAGTGGGAAAACGCATGTGGAGGAACTTGTGGACCACTAAGGCTACTCTTATTATGAGTTTTGAGTTGGCATCTAGGCCTAAGCTGAACTTTGCTAAGAGTAGTATTTTTCGTTTGAATGTAGTGGACTCTTTTTGGTTTTTTGCAGAGAGCTTTCAACACTGTAAAGTTTGGCAGCTCTCTTGAAAAAGATCATAGTGCTCTGTTAAATAAAGCTTTTGATAAAAATATTGAATGAGCATGAGATCTCTCTTCAAAACTTTATCACAACAGGTCTTGAAAGAACCAAACTTGCTTCCATGATCTATAGAGTAAGTAAGAGAAAAGGAGAAGGTATGGGTTATAATGGAGATTGCTCCTAAGTTCCGCTTCTAAAAAAACTCTCAGATCCTTCTTCTTCAAGCAATGCTCAAACAGTCCTGAAAAATTATTTTGTGTCTTATTCTGATAAAGGAAAGATCTAATTCAATCAGAGCCTAAGATAGTTGAATCAAAGGTCCTGATCAAATCAGTTACTGGAACTTCAAAGTCAAAGGACCTGGAGAAATCAATATCTAAGATTCAATAGTCAAAGGTTTAGAAGAAACAAGAACCCAAAAATCCTTAGCCAAAGGTTCTAAAAAAACTTGAGCCTAAGACTTATGGACCAAAGATTCTGAAGGGTTCAAAAGCTAAAGTCAAGACTTATTCAAGAAAAAAAATTTATAAACAAAAAATTAGGAATGTGTCTAACCTTTTTTATCAGGAAAAGACTCAAAATAAAAGGAAATCAATCAGAACTAACCATAGACGAGCCATAAGAGTATCACTACTACGGAAAAGGGCTTTTAAAGCGCTTATTTTGGCCTTTAAAAGCGCTTAAAAGCGCTTTAATAGCTGGCGCTGGCGTAGGTAACAAAAGCGCTTCTAAAAGCGCTCTGGTAGACCCCCCCTTTAAGAGCGCTTTCCTGGAAAAAGTGCTCTGGTAGGACCCCCTATAAGAGCGCTTTCCTGGAAAAAGCGCTCTGGTAGACCCCCCTTTAAGAGCGCTTTTCCCAGAAAGCGCTGCCAAAGACCAGTAAAAAAGCATAAAAAATTAAAAAAAAACGCAGCATACAAAAGCGCTTTTGTAAAAGCGCTCTGGTAGGCCCCCCTATGAGAGCGCTTTTTATGGAAAAAGCGCTCTGATAGGCCCCCCTATAAGAGCGCTTTTCCAAAAGCGCTTTTGTATGCTGCGTTTTTTTTTAATTTTTTATGCTTTTTTACTGGTCTTTGGCAGCGCTTTTACTAAGAAGCGCTTTAGTAGGTGGACCTTTAAGAGCGCTTTTTAAAAGCGCTGTCGTTTCTAAATGAGGTATTTTTATGTACAGCCTATAATTTAATCCTCCCAGTCGACCTGTAATGTTTTCGACCTGTAATATTTTCGACCTGTAATATATTTTTGACCTGTAATATATTTTCGACGCTATTATTTCAGCCATCAGTAAGACAATATATATACTAATATAATACCATTATAATATCCAAAATTATATATATACATCATTACATCAATAATATTATAGTTCAAATCGACACAAATCCTACATGAAAAATTGCTTAATATAATATTGACACAAATCTTCCTTAATTTCTTCCAACTTAAGCTTCGGGTACCCAGCAGCACGGAATTCGTCAAGGTACTACAAAACAAAAACATAATATAAATGATATATTTAGTTAAATGTAATAAATTATATGAAATTATCTTAAGTTATAAATTCATACCGTGAGCGGAATCTCTAATTGATTCGCCTGAAGGATTTCTTTCATGAACCTCAAAACAAAGTATCCGCAATCATAACTGTTTCGCTGTTGCGGACACTACATAATAAAACAAATAAGATTCTATAGTTGTCTTGTTTTACCAAGTAGCATAAATATTATAAGCAAAATTGTGAAAAGTAATGTACCTGCACTTGGATCCAAGTGATGTTGTTTGATTTAGTCCGGGATACCTGTGCGTCCCGTTGACTACGGAACACTTGTATTGATCTAATTATTAAATATATAAAAGCATATGTTTAGATCAATCCCACAAATAAGAAAATATATAAATATACACGAATATATATTTAGAACGATCCCACTTACAAATCAACGATTTCCTTCATAGCCGGATAATTGGTCCATTCACCATTTACCGAATTCAGATAATACACGACTTCTCTTATCGGGTTGATAGCAAGCAGCAACCAGTGTGCTCTATAAATTAAAACAATAGGTTATATGAAAATTTTGCTATACACAAAAGAAACAGAGATTAGATGAACCAAGAATGAGAAACTAACCCTACTGGTCGGGTATTATACGCCCAAAGATGCAGACTTTCTGTATTGCCGGTGGACATGAATCTATCTACTAAGCGCTGTCTAACTGATTCCGGTTCCGAAGCAATTGTCATTTCGCTGCAATGGGCGGAAGACACGAAACGGAATCTGTTAGACAATGCAGTCCCGCGCAACACTCTGTCATACAACAACCTTAAATAAAAACATAATAAACATTAGATTATTTTCATTGAAATGTGTAAATAAATTATATTGTGGGACTAATTAAATAATATATCGGATGAGTGAATATTACCGGATGTATGAGTGCATATTACTGACGCCTAATTGATCATGCCTAAAAATCTCTTCCAAGTCATCAAATGTAATATGTGACGGGAATTCAATACCGAAGACACTTTCATCCATGTTGATTTCACGTAAACCACCATCCTTCAAATCGGACATATCAACCATTGTTGCGAGTGTCGAACGGTATCGAGGCACAAAAGCACCGCCTTTTTTTGCCGCTTGCTTCGGAGGACCAGTGGGTGGTAAGCTACGAACCTGCTGCGTCACTTGTTGTGATTCCCGAGCGGATGCCTAAAAATCATATAAGTTAGGTAAAATATAAAATCATGCAGATTTAGATTCAGACTATATATTAACACTTTAAATGTACCTCTTTTAGTGATGCAACAGACTCCTCCTCCTGTAAAATCCCTTTACCCTTAATTGCGGGTTTTATAGGAGCAGTCTAAAATTAAAATGTAAAAAATAATTAATAAACGGTTTAGAATTGACATTCGAAAACTAAATGATTCATAATCGTTTTCAGTATACCTCATCACTAATGGTAATGAGCTCCGAGGGCCATGCAACAAATGATCCTATTGCATCTCGCAGCAATGTCGTCTCTGAGACCATGTCAGGTACCGGTAGAATCGCATCACGATCTAATACAACATCCACCGATACTTTCAGGTGTCCATCCGGGAGGGGTCTGTGGTGAAGTAAATCTCCCGAAGTGTTGTGCACTTTTCCCTTGCCAACTAGTCGATAATTCGGTGACGATAAGTATAGTTGGCAAGATGAAATGCCCTAAACAAATAGAAAATATAAAGTCATTATCATTAATAAAATAGAACAGTTTGTAAGGAAAAAAACTTATAATTACCTCGGGAAATTTCTTTTGATAGTTGATACTAGCCTTATCACTAGTTTCTCTCACCGATGAAGTGTTGCATTTTTCTCTCATATACATATCTTTATCTCTTTGCAATTCAGAGACCTGTGCTTGCAATTCCTGCAACTTTTGCAACACT